AACTTGAGTTTGGATACTAACTAGAACAAAGAAAAATAGCACTATATAAATCAATTCAGTTCACTTTGTGTTCTAATCATAGCTAAAGCCAGAAAGAATGATTGGACATGCAAATAAAGGTCATCAATCTTTTGAATATGTAATCACTTTGTTCAAAAATCAAACAATAAAATCCAACTTTTATTGACTTGTTTCTATTTTATTGGAAGTTATGATTATTGTCATGTTGAATTTTTTTGGCTTGTCATGTGACCATGCAGCCTCTAAACACTAAGTTTACAAGGCATCCTATAGAGCGTTTTCACGTGACCTCACAGCTGCCATGGTGGTGTACCAAAACGATACATTTTCTATCCTCGTTGAATTGAACTTTTTTGCAAAACTTGTGCAGAAAGTTTCTATCATTTGGCACACCAATATGGCTTGGTTGGTAACTGAGTGAAAACTCTTTGTATACCATACTTACACGTCACTTTGCACTGTATACACATAGTCTTCTAGGGATTCGATTGCCATCCATTTGACAGGTAGTTTACCCTAAAAGTAAAGGATTAATAATATCAATTTTATGGTCTTTAATGATGGAACTAGTGGCGGATCCAGGGGGATCGGGGGGATGGGGTGGGGTCTGGACCCCTGTCATACCTGAGATTCAGTTGATTAYGTTATCCTAAAATTTAGTTTGCCACAGGTTTGAAGTAAATTTCGTATTTTTTTTTACAGAAATCTATTTTCAATATAATTATAGGGAGTATAGAAGTGAGTGGTGTCCAACAGGTTTTACTAAGTATAAKTTTGGAACCCTCTTCTCATCTCAAAAATTCCTTAATCCTCTTTTGTGARCACTATTTTTACACTACTATTCAGTTTTATTCTTACCCCTGTTGTCTTTTCATATTGACCGCTTTCGTAAACATCACGTGATAACCCAAAGTCAGACACCATTGGTATGTTGTCCTTACCCAGTAAGACATTGCGCGCTGCCAAATCTCTGTGAATACACTACAAGACGAAAATATATCAAGCAATTGCCAATATCTAAAAAATACTTAAGAGGTACAGATTGTTYGGCGATTATTAAACGTACCTTCTTCTTCCCTAAATGGGTCATTCCCTTGGCAATACCATATGCAAACATCAGTTTCTCAAGAAGAGATATACCGGTCGTGCTGGTAGTGTTCATGGTGGTATTTTCATAGCTATGATTCTGTTTTTCATTTTCACTTGTGCTGACAACGTTTTCGTAGCTGTGTTCTTTTTTTGGGCGATGACACTGAAGATACTCGATCAGGGAGCCGTTCTCAGCAAACTTGGCAACCAGCCATAGTGGACCTGACGACAAAATAAATAAAACATTATGTTAGCTAGGATGCCAGACATTATTACGTTATGGCGCTAGGACGGCAGCTAGTATTGTATTGTGACAAATCTCACCACCAATTGTACAAGCTCCAATCAAACTGACTATATTTGGATGTTCACCAACGTTGGCCATAATATTCAGTTCGTTGACCAAGTCTCTCAGTTCTACTTCTGTGGCTTGAGCTGCGAACCAATAACCACATCAATATGAATGCTGCAGTACGCATATCTCTGACTACTTAAAAATCACCTGGAAGCTTTAACTAAACCCGACATTAAAATGAACTTACCCTTGAGCATTTTCACTGCACATATTGTGGATTCTTCTCCATCAATGAGCTTTCCTTTCTTGACTTCTCCAAAAGCTCCAGAGCCAAGTTCTCCTATGAACTCTATACATTCTCTAGCAATTTCCTTCCAGTGTTTCTCGATGTCTTCACCACCRACTCCAAGTAAGGCATCTAAACTTATCAATGCTGCATTCTGCTTTTCTAATTCTTCTTTTTCTCTCTGTATGTTGAAAAGAGTGACATGTTTCACAAAGTTTTAAATCTTTAAGACTAAATTGCTAGAAAGGTTTAAAAGATATACTTTAGGATGCTTTCTACTACTTATCAAAAAGAATGCGAACACTTCTCAACTGTTGAAGATAAAGTGAAATCAAACCTGCTCCATGGCCAGCTGCTCTTCGATTCTTTTTCTTTGGCGTCGCTGTTTCCTCCACCAAAACCACAAACCAATCAGACTCAGAATTAGAATAATTGGAATGATGACGCCAAGGGCTATGGCTGCTGTCATGTCAGCTGCAAGGGGTATAACGAGGTCGATGGTTAAAGCATCAGTTTTATCATCTTAAACTAGACATATTTGATATCATTCATTTGCCTCACCTGTTGTCTCAGCTGTTATTATATTACTTTCTTTTTGTCCATATTCATTGTAAGAAGCAACCATAATTTCATATTCTGTGCTGGACTGAAGATCTTCTATTCTTCCCTTGTTCTGATTGGCTGATAGCATCTTACCCATAATCCATTCCTTCCTACCAGTTTTCBTGTGTAATATTCTGTACCCAGTGATGGCGTATGCTTTGTAGTCTTGTGGGTAATCCCATGTCAGGTGAATATCTGTTGGGTTTATTACGTTTGCTTTGGGATTTTGTGGAGGAGACGGTGACTCTATAGTACAAAACAGCAAAGTTATAAGACCATAATTGGTCTTGCACTAACTCAGCCTAAGCAATACTACAAGAAAGCTGCTTACATTGCCGGTACCAAACATGACATAACATAGAAATTGCGAGGCTGGTAGCAGAAGTGAAATCTGCAAAATTGGGAGGTGAAATCTGCAATATTGGGAGGTTTACGTTCTTATAGCGCGTAAAAAAGACCTTCAGTTTTAATTAATACCCTGCTGCAAACCTCTGCACTGTCATTGAAACCCGAAATAAGTGGGGCACGGCGTAACTCACGTCACAAATAGAATTGAAAGTTAGCAATGTCATAGGTTTTAAATGAGGAGGATAAAAAAGCGAGGTAATCGGAGATGATTTATCGATCAAAGAACAGGAGAGTTCTTTATTTACACATGTGATGATAAGAGCGGGAATGGAAACCGAGACCCCAGAGGTTTAAAGCGAGCGGTACTGCCGCTACACCGCCCTTCATGATCAAAGGCAGTCGTCTTCATGTACATATATTTTACAATGTTACAAGTACCTTTGAAAATGATGTTATCGAATGTGATATCTTCTGTCGTGATTTCGCCTGCAGAGAATGAACGAATGAAGGTTTCTTTGATTGCCTTTAGCGAGGACGATTTCATGCTTGGGTCATCAATTGCTACGGAAACCTTTAACTCTGCTATTACACTGCCATTCCTTTATAAGGATAAATAATACTTTTTTAAGAACAATGGCACCCGGGGTGGGTCTTCGGAAAACTAAAGTTTTATCTAACAAAAGCTAATTTACCTGAACTTGGAGACCGTGACGAACACATCTTTTCKTGGTTTGAATGCTTTTAAGATCTACATTACACAGAGAAAAACGATAAATACTTAATTATGAGTACAGTATAGAATGTGGTTCTATGTTTTATTGAAACGTAATATGCTCACAGCTCTTTCTATCGTGAGAATGAACTCTCTGGACATCTTGGATGTTATGTCTTCCAGTTCTTCTTGATATCGTTTATTAGAAACWGTTATCTGGATGTTGATTACARCAACATCTGAGAAAATCAAAACATTAAGTATTAGTAACAACTGAAGGCTTTGGAGTATCCAGCATTCTGAAAAGAGGGTTACAAAATTGCCGCGCTATGCAAAAAAAGCTGGCGCGCTCGGCTTCACAAATGGGGGTTCCAATTTTATTCTACGCGTAAAGAGCATTATTAATAAGAGAATAAACRCATAGAATGACAAATCGCTTGCTTTAMTTTTCAACTTTTTCTTTTTTTATATATGTTTTTTGGTTTTGTTATTTTTATGGCCGCTGCGCTGAGGTTTGAACATGTTAAGACGTTATGCATCTTTGATCTATAAAAAGACAGTCTATGGAAATCATATCTAGGAGCAATTTGTTAACTGAATTWTTTTGCGTTGTATCGTGATATACCACCATATTCAATATTATATAGTACTCACCTTTAGATACTGTAAGTGAGACATCAGTTGTTGCTACACCATAAGTGTTGTTCAATACACACGTGTATAAACCTCTATCTTGTTTTTCAGTATAGGATATGTACCATGTACCATTCGCTAACTGTGTCGTAAATCTCTCTACACTTTTATTTTCATCGTAAAGTCGCTGTCCATGACGCAACCAATATATCATGGGCTCGGGTCGTCCATGGTATTCACATAGTAACCTTGTCGCATTGCCTTCTTTTGTGACGATGGAGCGACTTTTGTAGAATGGTTCAGGAGCACCTACCATAAACACGAAAMTAATTTATAAGTKGAAATCAGTTGCCTTCGACACTACCATTTCAGTTATAATTGTCCAGGACGAAAGCTTCGTTTAATTTTCTATTTCAGTACTTGTACAGACTTAAAAAGGTTTAAATATATTTCAAGTTTATAAAGCTAACACMTACCACAGGGACATGTGCTAGTCACGTAAACAGCAGTAAATGGTCCATCTCCAGGTGAAGTGTAAGCAGCAACCTTAACGGTGTAGTTCTTACACTCGTCCAGTGTTATTGTGTTACTTGTGGTTGTTGTTGTGAAGTTCTTGTARAGCAGTTTTCCCTGGTAAAGCAACACCCTGTATCCTAACAGTTTACCATTGATGTTCTCAGCATCAAGAGGACCCCACATCGCTTTTAACTCGTATCGTTCACAAACAAATRMTGCTGTCAGTTTYGGTGGAGGACTACTTGGTTCTGRAATAACGAGGAATAGAATAATGTTCTTCTTTTTTATACCTTTTTTACACTGAGGTCAGTATGTGGCATATGCAAGATATGAGATTAAAAGCAAATGCCGGTGCTCCAATCAAATATTTTCTCATTTAATGGTTTGCGCCGGGCAAATGGCAAATGAGTTCATGTTTAGRGATGCTGGCAATTAGACCCTCAGACCGAACCGTAGACCACGAGGGCGAGAGATCTAATAGTTTTTGTATAAACCTACTTATTGCTTATGATCAATTTTGATTTTCTGTGTGTTGGAGATGAATAAACAAAAAAAATAAAAATAAAAAAATTGATTGATTGAATATTCTCGGAGATATAACGCCCTACCACGCCCCATCAGCACAGAAAATCAAAATTGATCATAATCCTATAAAGGTAATAGGCACTTTAAGCAATGCATCATATAATAGTTTGAATTTATTTGACATGATTCATTTTTGCGTCTTCTGTTTTTCAGAACTGGCATTTTTTCTCTATTTATGGAAGTCTATCACTAATAGACCATTCCATTAGTAATAATAATAATAATAATAATAATAATAATAATAATGATAATCTAAATAAAATATATACTCTAGTAGCTCAGCCAATCAGAGCGCGGGAGCTAGGATAGACCATTAGAAGGGTTGGGCTAATTCAAGATATACAGTGAAGGCCCATCACTCCCAGCCTTCTGATAACTAGGGAAWAGGTTTGAACAAAAATGTTTATTAAGTTACAGATATCGCGAAAAAGTTAAAGATATCCGTGTTTTTAGACTTCACTGTACATGAAAAATTACACCAAAACTTACTGTCTTCCAGTGTTCGCCATGATGACGCTTTTTTAATCATGGTTGGCGTAATCATGAATCCCTTGGCAGTAACACCTATCACTCCACAGTAGTAGGATGAATATGGCTTGAGATTTATAATAGTATAACTTCTGGTATGTAGAGAGACCCATTCCTTTTCGTAATTTGCGACAGTTTCCTTCACATTTAAGTACATGACGTAATAACCCAACAGAACACCGTTGTGTGTCTCGGGAGGYAGTGGTTTCCATTCCATGTAAATGCTGGTGGGAGTTGGAGAGGTAAGTTTTGTAACTTCACATATATCGCTTGGTACTGCAAGGCAATCACCCAGAAGAAAATGATTGATGTAACGTACTGTATGATTACTTATACTTTGTATGGTTATGTATTAGTTACTTCTCGTTCTCCTTCAATTTTTAAGTTTTATAATATCTCTAGTTCTCTTCAAATTTATTTTCATTTTCAGCTCATTTGGTAGTGATCATAATATGGTAGAGTTCATATGATAAATATAATAATTAAACTTCAAAGCGCAAATGAGCATAAAATGTTCATCTGCGATTTTTACAAAAATAATATATGCAAATAATGATAAAAATAATAGTTGAAGAACAATAAACATGGCCGAAACGGTTGTCAAGTAAGATSGTAATGCAATGCGTCACCGAAATGTTAAATGCGCATGCCCACTTTGATATTTGCTAATCAAAAATAAGCTTGAAACAGTTGACTTGACTTTTGCAAGCCCAAAATGTCTTTGGTTTTCCATATAAATGRCAGGCAAGCAATAAATATGAATATAAAAGTCTCATTGCAGCTCTTTTTCAAGAGATATAAGAGAATATATTTATTTTTAGCACACTTACGGCAAATAACCACTCAATGGCTGTTTTTTTATGTTGTTCATTATGATGCTCGATTAAAAGTTTGAGAAAAAAGCTTTTCGAAGCTATAAATTTTGATGACTACACAGGGAAAAATATTTCGCCTCSAGGCGCATTTTTTTTCATCAGTAATGATTTCACAGGGGAATTGACTCATAAAAAGGCAATGACAATAACACAACAGGCCTTTTGCACTAACAGGTTAAGTGACGTTAGTACGAGCTGAAACTATGCTTCGTTATACTAACACCMAAGTGTCAGTTTTATTTCTGGTGTTCATTTGTACGATTGCTAAATTTAGGGGCAGTAGGATCACGTAACCTGTTAGTGCTATTGGCCAATTACTATATATAGAGAGAAGATACCTCCACCAGGGGTCCGTATAGTGACAGGAGAACTCCACCGCCCGTAACCACGAAAGGTTTTTGCTCTGATATAYAGTGTGTAGTATCGGTATGGCAGAAGGTGGTAGATAGTAACCCTCCTTGCATACGAATTAGCAATTTTACTATGGTTACCAGAAATGCCATCAGTTCTGCCGTACAGTATCATATAGCKGGTGATYGTGCYGTTAATACGCTTGGGTTCTAACCAGGTTAAGGTAATGWAAGATTTAAAATCACCACCGTCAGTTGACGCKKTTACGTTGTGCGSAGCTGACGCAAAATCTAGAAATAAAWRATTCAAAAGAAACTTAAATCAATGATATTCAAGGCACAATTACACGGACCAATTCTCTCTGCAACTTGTCTAGAAAAGCTTTGCGACACGAGTTTCATGGAGTAGCGTGTAACTACAGCAAAATTTATAGCGTTTTTACTTTTGGCGACGATTACGTAACCGATGCAYCGTGTAAACACTCCTACAACTTGTTTCGCAGCGCTGTTGCGTGACAAGTTGTTTGGAAAATTGCTCCCTGTAATCGCGCCTTATTAAATGATATAAAAGCTGTGCCATCCAGCTCAAGAAATCCCTCCATCAATAAAACAATCACCCAACCACCCAACTACTCACTTTCTCGTTTATTTATGCTGCCATACATTTACGCATTCATCCATCCTTCCATTTGTCTCCATTGTTCTTGGAAACCCGGCCCATACAAAATTCACTGACTGCGAGAATGAAATTCAGATCGATTTCTTTAATTAGCTCTCTTAACAGCAGTAAAAACAGCTTCAATCAAGTTAGGAAAATTATATTTTGTTTGCATTTAGAGAGCTAACTAAACGAACCAAACAAATATTTTGTTTAAAAGTCAGTACGTACATGCGCACGGAATTCCGAGAACAATATCCGAACTTCTTGGTGACCATAACACTTTGCAACACCATTATACAACGTGATGGCTTAAGCGCCGAAAATGTGCTTTCATTCTTACCTTGATCTATGCTGTTCGTGCTGATGATAGGGACTAAAATTACAAGATAAAAAACGTGTGCTATCTTTAAGCTGTCCATCATGCCTGAAAAGAAACACAATAAATGCAATAGACTTTTTTAGCATGTGATCTGGAATGGAGAAACATTACACCTGAGCTAAAAAAGCATATTCACTATACCTATATGTTTACAGAATGTTATGTTGTATACAAATATAGAGGGGTTGAATAAGAGTAAAACGGACTATTGCACTTACGTATGCCGTTGACAGTGCTTATGCTTACTTATGCTTACGTGACGTCGCTAGTAAAATTTAAACCAGACTTAGCGCTTTTGAATCTTGTTCCACACTGATTCAGTGAAGAATGGATGACTCAAAGTAATTTCGACATTGAAATGGGTGGGGTTGGCGGGGGAAGGCTAAGACTTACGCAAACTAGGCGGCTTTGTCTTGCGTAGGATTTCCTGAACTAAGCTGTCACAGGGCTCGTATGGATACAGGCTGAATGCCGAATGGGCCACTCTCGGTTATAATCTTTACATTTACATTTGTCAAAGAAAACGATTGTTTTAGTGATCGATTGTAACGGAAGTGACGAATGTAGCGCTTCCGCCAATATTGAAAGTTTCTGAAACAGTTGAAACCATAATAACAATTGCTCTGTCACGTACGCATAAATATGAAATTTTCTCGCGCTGATTGTTCATTTGTTCATTTTTTTAAATCATTTTATTATCCATCTTTAATGCCATGAATATAGCATATTATATGAGATAATATAATATGTACAATAATAATTTCCTTTAAATTAATATTTTGTCGCTTAATTAAGCTTTTTTACTCTTTAGCTTTCAAGGCAAACGTCTATTTACGAAAAAAAAAAAAAAAAAAGAAATACGGAAATGCTCAACCGACTGTGCACCAGACCGAAACGTAGACAAAAATTGATCGTGATTGAAATCATGCACGCTTCAGATTCATTGAAATCGATCCATTTCCGCTTTCAATATACATATCTTTTTACCTCTAACTGCGCAATAGAGTACAAACAATAAATGTGTGCAATAGTTATCATTATTTAGTAGTAAATAGCACTAATTAAACAAAAGAAAACAATAGAATTAGCATAAAATAGCACTATTTAGTGATATTTATGTTGCACACTTTTAGTGTACTTTCTAACAAGCCTTCAACAACAATAACTCAATTAGTTATAAATACTAGGCTCGTGAATTATACCTATGAGTTTTGAAACAGTTCAAGAAACTTTCAGAACATATTTTATCGGGCACGCAGAGTAGTCTTAAACCCGATTAACCACTCTTGCTCGTATATTAAACATTATATAAATAATGGCTCAAATTTTTTGTCTGAGCTGTGAATTTAACTTTTTCTGTATTTTTCTATACGACTGCCTAAATGATGATTATGTGCCTGTCCTCTCATTGACGACAAATTGCTTCATCACATTGACAAGTAGTGAGAATCCACGAGGCGTAGCGGATAAAAAAGGGGATATATTTTCTCCTCGCTTGTTTCTTTCAATTTTCTTTCTTTTGCCAACTATGGTTCGTTACACAGTCGTGTTGAAGTAATTTTGATCAAATTGTTTTGAAGGAAAAACCGGAATGCGTCCGAACTTAGACTTTTAGAATAATTCCACGAGTAACTAAGAGGCCGATATTTTTCTGTCTGCATATTTTTTCTCTGAGGTCATCCATAAAATTTGAATARCACCTACAAAACCTTTCACTTTACCGTATAGAAATACCAAATAAAAGCTGTGATAAATAATATGGTTGAACTTTATGAAAAYACGGCTTACTTGTCTTAAACAATCTGGTTCCATTTGTCGTCATCTCTTCGATGTCGCATCGCTTACTCTTCGGTAATAGGGCGATTTTATTATTCAAGCCGTGATTAGTTCCGAAGTTTATCTATTGTTACGGATTTACCTACAAAACTCGATGACATAGAAGCTTACCCGTGATTGGTTCCGAAGTTTATCTATTGTTAGGGACTTACTTAAACAACTCGATGACATAGTGGCTTCGCCTCTACGAGGCAGCAGCCACAAAAATGTATGGCTCGCCAACCTTCAAGGAAAATTCAAAGACTACGTACCTAGGATTACCAACGAGAGTGCTTATTATGTGAAAACTGTTTATAATTAACCCTCTGTATTGTATCGGGGTGTGTTTGGGATATTGATTATTATTTATGTCCATGT